GGTCTAGTATGTAGAACGCAATTTTATTTTTATTTTTTAAAAAAAACATGTATGCAAAATATAATTACATCTTATATACATGGTGTATTTGGTAATGTTTTCTATATTTAATTGATTTTTTTCATATAGTGTCAAATATGTTCATAAAACACCGTTGATAGAAGAATTATTTAAGTTTTTTTCCCTGAATCTTTCCCATTTAACAAATTACAATGTATTTTGTAATCAAAGTCAAATTAGGATTAGAAAAGTCCTATGAAAAAATTAGCATATTGTTGATAGAGTCAAAAAAGAAGTCAAAGAAATCCGAAAATAAGATCAAGATTCGAACTTTAAGTTGAAATCAAGTAGGACGCAATTTTGCTAGCTTGTTGCACAGTTGATGCTCAAGCGGCAAAAGCAGAATCGCTATCGCCCGCCTAGCGCTAGATGGCACTCGTTGGCCTAGCGCTCGAGCGACAGGTCGACGTCCAAAATCCTGTTTGCTTTAAAACACGTGATTATCATCCATATTCCAACCCAAATAATTTTCCCTACATATATCATATCTTATGAACGTCCAAAGTGTGTTGAATCAAATTTATTTCATAAAGATCAATTCTTTGATGATCCAAAACATTCGTTAATTAAATTTCAACCACCACATATTACTTGATCCTTAAATTCTTTTAAAACATATTTTGTTGATCAAGCTATATTGTTCCATATTAAACCACGGATCAAAACACGCAAGATTTTTTGATCAAACACCAAACCACATAATCCACAAGAGATAAATCGATATCAGGGATCGGGAGATGATGTAGAAGCACAAATTAAGAAGGACTAATGTGAGGTAACACGAATTGGGATTTGGTGTCAAGAAAACGTATTACAGAAGGACTAAGGTATAAACTAGGAGTTGAGATTTGTTTTGAATGAGCACACCTCTAGCAGGATCAAGGGAGACTGCGAGAATTGAGGTCAGAAGTTCTATGGGGTAGACAAGTGTAGACCGTACTGTAAGTTTGCTTCGATTTATAGTGGATTACTGGATGTCAAAGTGCTCGGGTTTTTACTAGTTGGGGTTTCTCCGTGATCATCTTTGATATTCTTTACTATTTTAATTATTGATTGTGCTATTCAAATTTAGAATAAATTGACTTGTTTGATCTAAGGGTCCGTTTGATTCAAAGATAAAATTTGGGTAGAAAGAAAACGAATTGAAGGGAATTGAATTGCCTAAAATTTGTTTTACCGGGAATTGTCAATTATTTGTGTTTGATTGGTATAATTTTTCACTTGGAAAATATTGATTGTTTAGTGTCCATTTGTCTTCTTTTTCATGAAAATTATCCATTAAAGTTTTTG